GATACTGCATGATACTGTCCTTAGTGGCTGTATGTCACTGCTTCAAAATCCCTGTCTTTGCTTGAAATACAAAGCTAGAAACTGAATGAAAGCTGAGGCAAACCTCCAGTCTCAAGAAACAGGAGTCCTGGTTCAGAGCTGGAGCACATCGCCAAAAGACTGAAAGACTACAAGGCAGTAAGAAAGGCCAAGAAAAAAAGTAAGACTTGATTATGTCCTTAAAACATCTCTTTCCATAACCTGTCTCTGACAGATACCAGGACTAGATTATGAACTTCCCAGCCTATCGCCCTCCATCCATGTATTGGGTTGCACCCTTGTCTCTGCAAGCTTGCCTTAGAGCATGCAAGGATGAGCTGCAAGTTATAGTGCTGAGCAGGGGCCCATACAAAGCCCCCCAGGTCAGTGTTACAGCAGGGCACCAAACTGGTATCAGGTATCTCATACTAGGGGTGTCCACAGGCAAAGGGCTGAATGCATGTATGGCCTCTGCAGGGCCTTAGTAGAGTACCCAGAGCACTGTTAAACTCATAACCTCCCTCTAACTTCCCTTGCAAGCGAGCCCTAATAGTTGAAATTGGCTGCAATCCTCAACTATTATATTTGATATCCAAGAAATGCACAATTAGCTACAATAGCTTTGGATATTCAATATTGCGGGGAACTAGTGTTGCTGTTGCCTGGGCTGTGATTCCATTCTCTGTAGACTCCAGATCAACGAAGCACAGCTCGTGAACCTCTAAGATCACTGATTTATGAAAATGAAACACACAACAAAAAAACCCCCACAGTAACCCTCAGAAGTTTACAAGGGCAGAAAAAGCAAAACTGCACATGGGAAGTGAAAGAAACTTCAGAAGAAATCTCTTATTACAAATACCCACCAACTTTGTCTTTGCACATCCATAGAAGATTCAGATTCTTAGGATAAGAGAGTAGAATATGGAGCACCATTTTAGAAAGGCAAACTTTATGCAGCCCTGAGCCAGTAATACCACTTCTTCAGAGAGAAAATAAGTTATTATTAGAGGGGTAGAGAGCTCTACATCCAAGTGACAGGTCTCCATCTAACTAAATAAGAAAATGCTGCCAAATCTATTTCTATAATCTCAGTGATCTCATATGTTTTCATTAAACAGATGAAATAAAATGAGAGATGAAAAGTGGCCTATTTATTCTATATTAAAGTAATGAGAGGGCTTAATTTTTTTAATATTTTCAAAATGAATAGTATGCTAGAGGTATAGGGTATGTTTTATAAGCTGCATTTAGTACCTGTTACGAGATTAACCTCTCTGAAAATCTGCACTATTATACTTAGTTGTTTGCATTCTCCTTGCAGCAGGGAGCCATAATCATGGGCTCACATTTCTGTGTTTCAGACTCTGCACAAACACAGCAAAAGAGAGCCTTGCCCCACGGACTTTACTGTTCAAGGTCCTATGGGCTTAAAGACAAAAACAGTGTTCAAACACACTGCTAGTCTGGAGTATTAAAACATTAAGTAAAGCCAAATCTTTTAATATGTGAAGGATAATATGTAGTTTCTATCACAGTGAGTTTTCTGACTGCAAAAGCTATACTTGCTGCTGTTTCTTACTTTTTTTATTAAGAAAAATGAAATAAAGTGCTAAAAATTATCTAAGCAGCATAGAAATACCCAAATCAAAGCAACAGAGATAATGCTCACCATTGCCTGCCAACAATTCAATTTCTCCTGTATGTACACCTCTAAATATGGGATTTCACCTGGATGCACCATGGCAGGTATATAGTATCAGACTGCTTCTCTGCTATCAGAGATACTGGGCCTACATACCCAGTCCTTATGCACTCCTCACAACAGAAAAAATATCCTGGCAGCAGTGTCACAAATGACTCATGAGTGGCGGTTTCCTTCCTACAGAAGCCAGTTCTGGAAACATACCCTTTGGTCTTGATGTCATCATGCTGATGATGTGCTCAAATGACAACAACCATTCATTCATTCATTCATTCATTCATTCATTCATTCATTTATTTCTTCACAAGGTAGGAAGACATGAAGCTATCAAATAAAGCTGGCAAGAGCCCCTAAGGCCTGATTAAGCTCTTCTAGGCTTCGGGAATGAAGCCAAGAAAAAAAGCCATCAGGTTCTGATGTCTTTTCTTTGTAATATTCTTTTCACGTTTAGATGAAATAAAACCAGTTTAAAAGAAAAAAAAAAAGAATAAATCAGAAAAAAAGAAAAAGCCCTGTTTCCCTTTTCCTGCTTGCATTCCCTATGGGCACTCTGGCAGGCTGACAAAATAGAACTGAGAACAAGCACTGCAGGGCAGAGTCCTGGCTGCATCTGAGCTCCACACAGGGAGTGCCGGGGAGCTGCTGGGACACCAAAGGGAGTAGGTGAAGTGCTAGGCAGGCATTTGCACCCATGATTCCCCAAATATTCCCCATACCCACATTACACAGCAAGAGCTTCAGCAGCATTTGGAGTTGCAAGAGAGCAAGCAGCCTCCCAGGAGGCAGATCTGGCTCCATGAACGCCTTCCCATAGCACCAGAACAACCTGGTGACAGTGTGTGGTGTCAGGACTGCTATAGGTATATAGGTGCTTATTTTGCTTTACCTTTCAGAAAGAGCAGAAAAACTCATTCAGAAATGTCCTTCTAGTCAAGTATCTGATAGCAGCCAACAACAGACACCCATGGCAAAGTGAAAAATACAGTGCAAGCTCCATAGCTCTACCTTAGCCTCCAGAGGAGAGAGAACAAGCAGCCTACCTGATACACCCTCAGTGGACACACTGTGGTCTCACACAGAAAAATATCAGGGCATTCTGGTTTATACCCTACTGCTTTCCTAGTAAACCCAACATTCAGTTTTCCCTTTGAAGAGCTACTGGGGTCCAGCTGATCCAGCCAGAGATGTATCTTTCGTAATGCTGAGAAACAGTTGTTAATAGGTAACTGCCACCAACTCAGAGCCTGTTACTGTACCTATAGTTGGGATTGCTCTGTCCTGCATGCACACATTTATTCCCATCCACGTTAACTTCCTTTGCCATTTTGTCATCAGTTGTGCAGTCTGTTAAGACCCTTCTCAACTCCTCACAGGCAGCCCTCCTCCTTTACTAAAGAGATCAGGTCATCAGCAGGAAGCTTTCTGTCCCTCTTCACCCCTTTTCTAGCTCATTTCTGAGCACACTGACAAGTTGAGATCTTTGCTATGATCTGCTGGTAACCTTTTCCACTACAAAAACAACCACTCATTGTCACCACCTGTTAGTTATTCACTGATGAGAAGTGCTTCTCTGCAAAATCAGGGCTACTAAAGTTTCTTTAGTAGCTTTTGGTGAGGGATCTTGTTGTATGCCTGTTAGTTGGATATCTCTGTCCATATGCTTACTGACACATCCAAAGGACTAGGATTTTTGTAAGACATAACTCTTTCCCCTTACATTACAATTATCCATGTGCCTCCTAATTCTGTTTTTTAACAGTTTCTATTAATTTTCCCATTAGAGATGTCAGGCAATCTGCAGATGACAGGCTCAAGCCTATTAGTAATGTTCTGTAGGTACTCACCCCAGTTGAGGATAAACAGAGAAACTTACAAGGAGTCTGAATTAAAATAATATATTAAAATAATATCTGTGTCCTCAACTTTGAAACCTTTTGTTTTTGTATGCATGCATGCATGCACATATGCATATGTATGCATATAAAATTTTCAGGCCATTGCTAACTACACATCCCATTATGGAAATGAAAAATCAACCTCCAGCCTAATCAAAGCAACACTCAGGAATCTTTTGCTATAAAGCTGACATTAAATAGAATTTGACAAAAGAAATAAGTTGCATTTATGTAAAATCTGTTTCAGTAATGTTTTAACTTTTTTCAGTTGCTTTTAAGTGTCAGACTTCCAGACAAATCCTCAAACTGTGACTTGCCAAACCTATTTCAAAGTTGCAGCACAGAAGCAAAGCATGAGAACAGCAGCAGCTAACACACTTCTGCAACCATCCAGGAAAAACACATATCCATCATGTCTCTTCCATCTGAATTTCAGCATAATCTGTTTTCCTGCATTTGTATTTCCCTCTGGGAAGGCAATAAATGCTTGCATCTCCCAACAGTTTATCCTACCCTATCTCCCTCTCAAAAACACTCCGTCACCACTGGGGAATTAAACAACAGAGAAAAATAAAGCTGTCTCAGTATGACATTCTCCACCTCGTTGACTCCATCAGCAGTCCCTCAGCAAAATCAATATTTTAGAGTGTATTACTATATCAGTATTAAAAAAAAGATAGGTTTTCAACTTCATCTACTTGCACATATTTCATAGATAAGAATGCTTACACAATTTATTAATTTTATATATATATTTATTTGATAATTATCTCACTCTAAAGAGCTTGGAAAATACAGTGTTGGTCAAAAAATAAATGTATGTGTTCAGACTGTTGCCCATTTCAGATTTAACAAAAGGATCCATGATATGATGATTTTAATCAGGAACATTTAGGGAAAGAAACAGCATTTGGTTGATTTGTTTCTAATACGAGGAGAAATAAAAAGTGTCTTGGATAATTACTCTGCTCTTCGTTACTCAGAAGCATTATTCCTATTCTGTCCAACCACACAAAAGGTTAAGGAATTCGTACTGACTGGTTGCTACTAGCAGATGGATGTTGATCTAAGATATTTCTGATAGTTACAAAGGACATATCCCTTCAAAAGACTGACAACATGCCAACAAAGTACAGTAAAGATGTATTTCTAAAGGACTGCTGCTGTGCAAGAACTAATAATTACAGGACACATACATGAATTTATGCATTCTCCACCAGCTTTGTAAACCTATTAATTTTAATTATGGTTAATGTCCTTTTCTAGCTTCTGGTGACAGTAAGTCCCAGCTGAGAAGCTCCCAACTTTGTTCAATCTCTAGCAACACAGATGTGAATAGATAACATTTTAAAAAGAGGGAAACAACAGGAAGGGAAGCGCACCTTTGCAACGCTCACAGCAAGCTCCTCTCTGCTTAATGACGAGAGCACAGTCCTTGGAGAGCACTGGACACTTCTCCCTTTTGCATGTCACTTCCTTATTCTGGAAAAATAAAACAGACAAAAAGCTATTGCAAGCAAACCAAATCCACAGCTATCATTTCTTGCCATTCAGAAAGTAAAACATGAGGCGAGCGATCTGCTCTTTCTCTTCAGGAGAAGGCCTTGTGATTTCAAAGCATCTTTCTCCCCTTGAAGGAACATAGCACAAAACAGTCTGAATTATCCAGGAGCCCAAGTAAATGGTGTTTAAACTCTGCTCAGACAGTAATTCATGAATGCTACCCATCACAAGACAGAAAACATGCCCCGCTGAAGAAATCCACTTCACTTACATGAGCAATGAGCTACACAATATGCTTGTTAAAATATCTTTGGGGTCTTGAGGTGCTGCCCCATGAACCACACAGCTCCAGAATCATTTCTCACAGTGACAAAAGGACAGATGGCTGAGGAAGAGCTGGCAACCTCAGAGAAAACAAAACTCTCCGCCACTGCTGAATGTCATTTTAACTAGCGGTATTACCAAGCTACCCAGAGGTCCTTCAGAAGAGGCTACTGCACTGAAAATGAGACTACTGCAATTCATCTTTCTCCCCGAGATGCTGAGAGTCAATGAAACACCACAAGCAGGCAGAATCACTGTACATTACTGTCACATTTCTATGGCAAAGAGCCAGTGATGGCCAAGGCCAAAGAGCACATTAAGGAATGTCAATAGAGAATGTGTGACAGCAGGCATGAGAACTATCCCATTTATAGCCTGCCTTTCCCCTGTGGTGTCAACCCTTCTGGTTATCCTTGCCTTTAAACAAGACCAGAAAGCAAACACTTTGGGCGTTTCTTGCAGAAAAGTTTTGCTACCTGAAATTCCTGACTGCAAATAGCCCTCTGAAGTCACCTTCACCTATAATTAGTAGCTTGGGTCATTAAGTGACACAGGTGGCTGTCTATACTAGACACAAGCACTCACCTCACCCACTCTTATGACTTTAATTAGAGACCAAAAAAATCAACGGCCTAGGAAAATGTAAATCATAAAACTAAAGGAGAAAAGGCAGTGCTTTCCAGTCTTTCCCTTTCGCTCCCTGTGGCCTTATTCAAGGTGCCTGTGAAGGATAACACACAGCTTTTATTACACTCCAGCTCTTTGTCTAAAATCAGAGGTTTATTTTCTTCAAAGTCACTGCCTGATCTGATGGGAGCTATAAAGGCACTTCAATCTTATCAGTGTAAATGAGGACTCTCTCCAGCCAGTGTGTAATCAGCAAATGAGAATCAAGCCCTAAAGCGCAGCTGCAGCAACACAAATGACTACTGTAAAAAGCCAGGTCACTGCTAGTCACTGCTATGTGCTGGCTGCCCTGCATCACTCCAGCATTGCAGAGCAACCATAAATGCGTTTTAACTGGCGAGTTAAGCTGAATTTATGGTAGGTCCGTGGCTCTGGACTGGCACAAAGCAGCCATGGCACAGGAGTGCAACTTGCTCAACATGTTCTTTTTAGAGCACAGAGTAAAATCTTGGTTCCCTTTATGTGAACACAGTGCCACTTGAACAAAGTGAGACTGTGCCTCCATTAAGCCTGTTGAAGGGCAGCGGAATCCGGCTTACCAGATCAGCTACAAACAGTCTGTATTTTAAAGGGTTCTGCTAAGATTTGATTCTCTTTGATGAGAGTTTGCTCAAATGTATCAAGCCTAGCAGCCCCACTGCCTTTATCTGTAGGAAAATCTTGTGCATGGTTCAAATCATGTTTGAAAGAAAGGTAAAACCCAGTTTAGACTACGTCTCCTTTGTTTTACCCAGCTGCAGCATGCATCATGGACCTCCGTGAGCTGAGAGACGCATGGTGCCCTTCTGTGTCAACCTAGCAGGGCTGGACACATGTCAGGGGTTCCAGTAGGCACCTACCCATCAGATTCCATCTTCAAAGAAGACATTATTACTGCGGGAGGGATGAGAAGTAAAACAGCTCGATGTTCCTTTTTGTTCCCAGATTCCTAGGGGACTGCTGATGCAAATGTCTCATGCAACCCAGCTACCCAGGCAGCTTCTCACACTGAGAACCCTGAGTACCAGCTGCTTGCTTCCCTTTGCCCTCAGGTACATCCTAATGTAGCTGCTTCTTGCTGGCAATGCAGAATAATCCTAAGGATGACACCAACATGTTTCAAACAAGAGAGACATGATAGTTACTGCTTCTAAGTAAAACCCTCCTATTTGCTCCCCACCTAAATCACCAATCTTCACCAATGAATTTTTTGGTGCCACTGAGCCAGCCCAGGAGTGCAGCCAGGTTTGGATCTTACTCTTCTTCCTTTATCACCAGCAATGCTGGTGGCTCAACCCCAAACTCAGGACCCGTGCTACACGTACAGATGGAAGCAACTGGAATGAGAAAACAAAAATGAGCTGGGCTGTACATGCCCAGTGCTAGGAGGGAAAATCTGGAATTTCATATACTGGTGCCAAGGGCCGTTTTACATTAGGCAGCTATTCCACTTAAAGAACATCAGTGGCCCACAGTGCAGCGACAGGAACTGAAGGGTGTCTTAAGCAGTAGGCTATAGATTCCTAATTCCTTTCTCTATCTCAGTAGACCTTGAACTAACTACATGAGTCTCAGTGGCCTAGCTTCAGCAGAAGAGGGGCTTGCTCCTCATGCTCCCAAAAGCCATCAGTCCCAAGAGCAAGGATGCTTGTGGGGAAAACAGGGGATGAAGCTTTGAATTGCCTCTGGATATGGAAGCCACTGAACATGATTGACCTATCTCAAAGGTAACTGCCATACAGACATGACTTTTTTTCCTCTTTATTTAAAGAAAAGAGCAAGCTCAGCTCTGTCTCTTGGAGAAGCTGCATCCTTTTTCCTACAGGGGCACGTCAGTGTATTCCAGGTAAACAGAGATAGCCTTTGCCATCACAAGAAGGGTAGCTAAGCACTTAAGCAGGGTGGGATCTGCAAAGCTGATGTTCCTCCTCTCTAGCTGGCATTACAGGCAAGCCCCAGACAGCTCCAAAAGTGTGTTTCAGGTGCCAGCCAAGGTGCCCAACTCCCTGCTATTGGGGTTGGGCTGAGCAGCACTCATGGCTACAGCCCCCACTGCTCCTTTTGGGGTTTTATGCTGAAGAAGGATCCAATAGGGCCACAACTGCAACATACTGCCCTGGCACAGTCGTCATAGAAAAATGACTTCTGCACTATGGAGCGTAGCTCCAGGGCCGTGCATCCATGTGCCTCTTGCTGCTTCTAAGACAGGATTTAATCCCCAAATTCTTCAAAAAAAATCCTGTTTTATCTTACTGCTGCATCCTGTGGAAAACTGGAGCCAGCAGATGTACAGGAAAGGGTTAATGTACCATGCTGATCAGTCATAGGACAGCAGCAGATAAACCAGGGCTGGTAAACCATTGTTTAGTCTATTGCAGTCAGGCATTATCCAGTGCAGATCTCGCAGGCCCACTGGGTGTAAAAGTACCAAGATTAAACAAAGAGCAATTGTCATCAGGAGTTTTTTTTTCCTTTCACCCTCTCGCCCAAAACACTGCTCAATGTCTACTGTCCATCTGCTTGTCCTGATTTTGCCTTCTTCCCTCCTATTTCGCAAGGGCAAAGCGAAGGGTGACAGCAAATGGTCTTTAGCAACAAATCCTTTCCTTTCCAAATACGTCCCCTTCTACCCTCAGTAATCATAACATTTCATTACTTGTCCCAGCCATACATTTTAAGGAGTCACTAAGTAGCTGCATGCGGGACAGCTGTATTACCAAACTTTCATCTGTGTTGTCAACAGCATCTCTGGAGCTGTTGAAAGCTCTCAGATACTTTGATTTTTGCTGGTCTTAAGAGAAAACTTTTTAGACAGCAACATTCAGAAGCCAACAGTTATGAGAGGGTAGGGGATTTTTCTGTTCCTTTTGTTTAAAGGACGTGCACTCTGGCACTGAGAAGTGTGGAAGAGACACATGGTTCATAAATACATAAACCATTTGCTAAGTCAGAAACCTGGGAGTCAGTCAAATCTGTAATAGGATCCCAAGATTCATCATAAATAACTTTTAATTACAGCCCCGCACAATGGTTATTTTAAACAGATGGTTTATAGATTCACATCTGGGATTTTTGTTAATTTAGTGCTCAGGCACACACAGAGAAAGGGAGAAAACCTCAGCTGAAGGTTTTTATTAGTGCTGGAGAGACACCTATTTCTTATTCTGGCTGATCCAGAACAATGCTGCCACAGCTGACACAACTCCCCGGCCAGTGCTCAACCACACAAAGGGCTCACACTGGAATCCCTTCAGAAAAGAAACTTCAGGGAAGTCATGGAGGATGACCCTTGACACTCCTCTCCTGTGCTCACTAAGCCCAACTGCTGGAGAACTTATGTCTTAACACCTTTGAAGAAAGATCAGTTTTGTTGGGAGCCCACACTTTGCTAGTGGGAACCACAGGTCTCTCTAACTTGGCATGCAAAGGTGAGGCCAAATTCCCATGCAGTAACCAGACCCAATACCAGCGTTACCACTTCATGTTACCTTTACTACAACCTCCTCTCCACACAATTTGTTCACCTTCAACATACACCTTGTATTTTTACGTGCCAGCAAAGAACTCCACACAAAACAGCCCAATCTGGTGACAAAGTGTATCAAACTAACAGCCTTGAACTCACATGGTCCCCTTAAATAAAATGCCAACATGAAAAGAAAGAAAAGCAACCAACACTAAAAAGAAATCTGAATATTTGGCAGAGGTCTCGGAGAGAATGTGTGCCAAACCACAGCTTGTAAGCCACAGCCAACTTTCTACAGGGTTCCCCACTGGGCTCCTGTCGGCTCACAGCAGTCACCAGGAGGATGGCTCTTTTCAACCTGGATTTGACATGGAAGAGGAGAAAATAAAGGAATAAAATAAAACCAGGAGTCCTCTTAATTTCTTTACGGCTGTACCAAAGAGTGACTCCATCAGTGGCAGCCCAAGCTGTCACAGTTGTGCTGTCACAGCTGGCTGCTGACAGCCTTGCAGATGTGCATTCA